TCATCGGTCAAGGGCCTTCACCTTCGGAAGCATTGAATTTCCTTGGGACTTCTCCAGGCACAACATGTTATTACTAATTGAATTTGGAAATATCTGGGTTATGCTTGGATTCCTGCATATTGCAGTACAAAAGAAAAAAACATGCAATGGTAAAGGCAAAGGGATAATTAAATCTGTATTGAAACAGCTGTAATTCACTTCTTGTATAGTTAGAGGACAACATTCATTTTTAACAATATAAATATACAATTTCCAGGGGAAAAAAATATTTATTATACTTAAGACAGCAATAGATATGAAAAAACCCTATACGTAAAACTACTGAAGGCACATAAACTTTGGTCCAATTTTGTTCCCATCCTCCATCCCTCCACCAATAAAACCCTGAAGTTAAATACCTCAGAAATTTTCCATTCTCTTACAACTCCTAGCTGTTAATATTTGTTTTGAAAAGAGCAAGAAAACAGTCTCGTATATAGCAGACAAATCTTCAGAAGACAAAGTTAATTCAAAGAAAAAATTCTGTGCGATCTGACCAGTATCCTTTCAGCACAATGGTAACAACACTAAGTCTGCTCTAGTTAACAACATACCAGGCCAAAAGGTAAAGGCAAAACAATGTTTTCTGTAAGCAGTTGACCTCTCATTTGAAAAACAGCAGTATGAGCTAACAGTATACAATGACAAATAGTAGGTCCACAGCTCTTGTAAAAAGAGAACTCCTCATGTTTCTGCTGACATCAGTTGGAGGAGTGCAAGATATTTGATCACACAAGCCACACTAGCAGTATTATCAGCAAAGGTGAGTAGTTTTCTCAGCATACAAACACAAGTTTGCCATCTGTAATCAGAAAATGTCATACAAAGGCAAATCTCCTCAGATATGTGGAATATCTCAAGTGTAAAAAGGACCTCAGTCTATCAGTGCACAAAAAAGTGCAACTGACAGAGCCAGGAGACAAGGCAAACAAGTCAAATTATGAATCAAAGATTCAGAACTTTGTTCTGATGTTGAAAGACATTTGAAGAAATTCAAAGATGCAAAAGTTTTATCATTATGCAACAAATCACAGGTCATTTGAAAAGGCACTAAGCTGCTCCTGGGTTGTTAAAAAGGCCTTACTACACTTTGAACCAAGTGTGCATCCACCAGAAAAAAATGGAGCTAGAGGTAACCCAGAGGTGATTTGTGGACTTGACACATATATAGGCAGGGAACTCTATCCTTAACCATTTCCAGTACCTGTTGTCAGGATATAACCACTAGTGTTTCAAAGCATAAGTTCCAGGTTACACTATGCACATTACCAGCTATTTAATGGATTGTTTAAACAGAAATTAAGAACCTGTATTAAAGAAATTATGAACTTAACTCTAACATTTTAAGGCCACAGTACAGAGAAGACGGAGCCAGAATCTTCCTGGGAGTTGCAGGGTTAACAGGACAAAAGGCAACAGACATACAATGCAGTATGTTTAAAGCCTAATTACGTATTAGGGAAAAAAAAATCACAATGAGGGCACTCAAGCATCGGAACAGTGAGAAGAACAGAGAATTTGTGAAATCTCCATTCTTGGAAATACTGAAAGCCTGACTGGTCAATTCTCTGAGCAATGGCTCAAAGCTGGCTCTAATCTGAGTGATAGGTAGGATTAAGGCATCCAGAAATTCCTTTCCAACCTACATCATTGTACAATTCTGCAGAATAACCCCATTTTTCCCAAATCCTGCTCTTTTCAACAGATATCAAGGGGTCTGCTCATAGACGGTTTAGAGAATCAAGAACTGAGATGCAACTGTACTTTTGCAGCCAGGCACTAATAAATCAAGCACTAAGTATAAGAACGATGTCTTTTGTCCTGATCCTTCACTAACAATGCATTATGACAAACAAAGGGTCATGGTTTTGCTTTTAATTATTCAAGGCAGAATACTGAATGAGATAAAGTAGCCTTAACTAGTGCCTTCATTCTGCTACGGAAACATTAAGATGTACTGTTAGTTTTGACGCTTGTCTGCTCTGCTTGTAAAAGCAGCACCTTTAAGATATACACAATCTAAAAGTAGCTTGATAAGACTATTTCAACTTCAGAAGCAGAACAACAAAGGAGAATTAAAAAAATATATGATAAACATATTGCAAAACCAAAAAGCAAATATTATAAATATCCACCACCCAGATTTTTCTTAAATGAAAAAAATTGTAAATCTCTGCTAACTTAAACTGTAGGCATCTACATTTCAAACTGCAGTCCAGAGCTGACATTAACTATACTCTAACATTAAGTTAAAACCGATAAATTATTCCTTTATCGTTTTGAGAGAATGTCAGAGGTCCTCTTCCCTTTATCTTTGATTAAGCTTTCCCACATTCTGCTATCAGAGTCAATAAATTAAAATGCATGTGATTCGCATGTTTGCATACACATATAACATATTACACAGTCAGTATACATATACTGCTCCTGATATTATATGTGCCAATATTAGCTCTCACATTTAAGGTTCCTTTTTCCAATGTTAGAGTTACATTCAGATCTAATATGATTCCTCTACTCTGTAGGTGCAATTAAGAAAAGTGACAAAGCATATTTTAAGGATAGTGGCCTAGTAGTATCAAACTGATTTATGTGCAGTAAGCAAGTAACATTCCCAGTCCAGCAAGATGCAATTTAACTGCTATCTATGTGACTGCTAACGAGGTAAAACATAGACATGAGTTAGAATTAAGTATATTTCTGAAAAGTGGCCTATGGAAATGAACAAGCCTGCTTACATCTGCACTTTGCTAAAATCATAAGCATGTAACTTTTTAATATGGTGCTCTTGGACCACACAATTATTTATTTTCATGAATTTAAGAAAAAAAAAAAAGGTTTCAAACTTCACCAAACTGAATTAGCTATTTCAGAAGGGGGAAAATGGAAAGGCTATCTCAAATCCCAAACATAATATTGTCTATTATTTCTAAGCCAACTTAACTTTCCAGTAAATAGTACATTCCGAATATTTCTGTATTTATTTGTGTTGTACAGCACTTCTTATAGCTACATACGTATTTAGTCAGCATTTTATCTACTGTCAAATAGCACACTTCTGTTGCAGTGTAAAGGTCTGCCACCATTTTTACTATGATTGGCTGCTGCACCTCTAATTAATTTACATAAATTAAAAGAAGGCAAGCTAGTATGTTGCTGATTTTGTAAAAATAATTCAGAGAGAAAACTTTAAAAAGCTTGCTCCAGGATATTCAATTCATACAGGAAAAAATAAAGTGAATGAGTGGCAAAACATTACAGCAGAAACAAATTCTGTACTAGTTAGAAATAAATAAATGCTGTGTTTGAGACGAATACCTCTTTAAAAAGTAAATACTAGAAAGAAAAAGATCATAAAATTAAATTTAACTTTTTAAAATACAATCAGAAGTCACTAAAGCTCATCTGTACTTTCAACACCAAAACTAACTGCATCACAGCTCATTCTCCAAAGAGAAATGGGCACTCAGTATCAAACATTTTTTCACACTTACAAAGGAAAGAATGATAGCTCTTTATTTCTTGAAGTTTAATACTGACAAAAAGATGCAGGTACCCAAAAGAGAATATTCTGATACAGCCAATGTCTCTCAAAAAGTTAGATGAAGTCCAGAAACTGGAGAGAATTTGCTTTTTTGCCTTTCTATAAATGTATATTTTTTTTAGTGCATTTTTAGTGGGTGCAAGATTTTTTTCAGTCAAGTACTGGTATGAGACAATTGCAACCAGGTAAATTTGAAGAATACCCACACAATTACGCAATGAATTAAAACCTCATATCCACCTCTATCCAATCTCCATACCAAAGCACAAGAGACTAGAATTCAGAGTATTACTTAATCGAAAATAATATTTTGAAGTATCAAGGAAAACATTTCTAAAAACACGAAGAAGATAATTTTCACAAAGCACACAATAAATTTTTCAAGGTACTTCAAATAAAACTCTAAGCTATTGTATCATAAGTACATAGTAAGGCACATAATAAGAAATTAAGTAAATACACAGTAATTTAAGTATTAGACATTATAGTGTTAAAAAAACCTCTTGAGGTTTAATTTTCTGACGCTAAAGATGACCTTAATAAAAATAACTTCTTAAAAACTTGTCAAACTTCCATAGACCTGAATATTTTCCATAAGATTGTAAACATTTTATTCTTTAAAGAAATGTAAAAAATTCTTTGAAATCAGAATTATTTTCTTGTCTTATTTTCTCCGAAGTACTATTACACAACATCACTTCATAGTAAAAATAAGACATCAAACTTCCATTCCACAGTTACGTCAAGCTATGTCTCTGATACCACATTTTGAAGAAGCTTGTCAAATGTCTTTTACTCCACAGAGAGAAGGCACTGCCTTTTCTCTAATAATTTAATCCATATGAACAGCACAGACTTCTTGTTTTTTAAAAAAGTTATTTGTAAAGATTTGCCAGAGTATGAACACACACCCTGGTAACATAAATACTATTTAGAAGACAGTCACAGTCAGTGCTTGATTTTCTTCAAGAAATCCAAGCACTATTTCACATTCAAATTAGTGTTTAATCTGTGTAGGTTTACCATTTTGTTAGAAATATTCTTTGTTTGCTATATTGTAAATTGTAAATTGTAAATGTAAATATTTGGTGTATTGTAAAATGTCAGTTGTTAAGTGTTTTGTAAGGCTGATTTTAAACAAAAGCTAAAATTATGTTCTCACAATATGATTTTAAGTAGGAAATTTGATGATAAATATTGTTGCTAAAGTGATTTCACAGAATAATCTTTCTATGAATGAATATTAAACTTTGATGACATACTGGCAGCTAAAATCATAAAAAATCATCACTTAATTCTTTGTGTATGAATGAGCTTTTTCTTTTAAGAGACAGAGCTGGTCACAGATGTTTCAGTCTCTATTTGAAGATTTTACTAAAACTGTCATGCAGTCTTAATAGAAAAGTTCATAGAAAAGTCAGACTGAAGATTTTGAGAAGGAAATTCGGAGGTGATGGTTTTCTCCAAGGTCATGATTGTGAAGCTCAATGAGAGCGTGAACTGCTTCTTCCACAGAGCCCAGCTGAATAAGAGCCATTTTGCAATCTTTCCTGAAGTACAACAAAAACCATTATTAATCCTAACCAGATTTTCATTGCACTAGCCAACACAGAAAAGTGACACAAGTACTTTTTCAGCCACTTCACACACACTAAACACTTGAATAGTGAAAGAATCAGATCCAGTTATGCACCTGTTAAAATAAGGAGATAACAAAACTTATACAAATTTTGCAGATCAATGGCCATTACACTGCACTTCAAAAAACAGGGTTGAAATAAGGCTTGAAGACCTCTAAGAAGCGCTTGTATTGTCCATATAGATGGGATTATTCTAGCAGGTATGATCATGCTAAAATAATGCTGCCAAGCAACCTTAATGTCTGTTATATGACTTTTTACATATACACAACTTGTGTTTCGTTTTAAAGAAGGCAGTATTTACTTTCTTTAAACTTATCTTAATTTGAACACAAGGAATTTGTCAAAAGGCTGAATATTCTTCATTTACCTATGCTAACACAGTAACCCATTTAAAATTGTAAGATTAGAGTTATCGTAAAAATTGTCATAGCTATACAGCTTTTGCCTATAGATATACGCACATGAAATTCTGCCTAGAGTAAACACACATGGAATTTTGAAAAAAAAGCAATTAGACATCTTCCAGGATGAAAGCTTGCTCAGCATTTTTATAAGAGAACTTACTGGAAGAATCGGAAGGCTTTCACAGTAGATCCAGTACTTGCAAAAAGGTTCTTCAGATCATCAACAGTAACAGAAGGCCTATTTAAAAAAACAAACAAACAAAACCAAAACAAAACCCCCTCAACTTGTAAAAGAGCACAGAGTTCTGTAATAGTATCAAAATCTCAATTCTGGCTTCTACATTAAATCTGAACAGTAAACTCTATGGATCAAGCCATGTCAACACTTTAGCCCAAAGATCTTGGCTTTGATACTAAGATTTAGCACCGCAGGGTGCTACAAAAATATTTCAGATACGCTCTACTGGTTTTCACCCTTCCCTATTCCTCCCTCAGTTAAATTCAGACTGCATAAAAATCACTGAAGATCTTAACTGGTACTTTCAGAAATACCTTTCATCTTGTGATTACTGATAGTGTGCTTCACATATTTTTACTTTTGAAATTTATCTGTTTTACTCAAAAAGCCATTTTCTAAAAGTGCCTTGCATTTGTTTTTCTTATTTGGACAAAATTCCATAGTTTTCCCTCTTCCCTCCCTGCACAGCTGCCGAACAAAAGCAGCCTGTAAAAACTTTTACTTGGCTGTCACTCCACACATTGTCAAAAACCTTCTAGATCTGAAACAACTTTTTTTCCTAACATGTTTCCTAATAAATGTTTTTAAAAACGTCTTACCCTCTATGTAAGAGGTCTGAATTCTGCAGAAACTGTTCTTTAAAAAGTGTTAAAATGATTAAAAAATGTATCGACATTAAATAACAATGCCAATGATGAATTTGATGTAATGTAACTCCAGTATATTATCTCAAAACCCATTCTTTAATCTTTGCAAGAATTTATAACAGGATTTAATACATGAAAAACAAAAGCATATTCTCAAGAAAATGTAAACTGTTCTAAAACTTGTAAAGCAGAGCATTCAATCAGTTATCCTCTTTGATAACAATAACAAAGTGACAGTTAAAGGATTCATTTATTGTTAATTACACAGCAGAACAACCCAAATTCTCAGGAAATTGTAAAAGGCCAAGGAAATCTAAAGGTTATGTCAGACTTTGTAACTTAAGAACATAACCTAAAAAAAATCACATCTAGATACTAACACACACGTGGGTACTCACGGGATGTTGGAGAGATGCAGGGTGGCAGATGGAGGAAAGATATTTTGGAAGTTCTTAGAGCCAGGCTTCTTAAAGCGATGTAAAGGGCTATTGCTATAGTCCTTTGTCAGACCTTGGTCCTCTTGTCCTTCACGAGGAAGTTGAACTGTATGGTATTTTGAAAGAGTAGCATGGAGGACCTTTCCATAAAGCCTCTGTCCATTCAAGTGGCTGATAGCTAACCAGTGGAAATATAATTTGAACAGGAATGAAGAGAGGGGAAGGAAAAAGGATTCTCTGAATAATAATCTTGTCTTCTATTTTGTGTTTATTATCTAAATTTAAACCACAACTTCCGTGTTTACCAAGTGGGCTATGTCATAACATTACATTTAAAACATGTATAAGGATGTAATACAACCTCCAGTCTAAATGCAACAAAAATGCAAAACAACTTTTCAGTAAAGAGCAGTTGATTATTCTTAAATAGCTAGATATAGTATAAACTACAGGAAAATTTTATGATGTTTTATTTCTGACATTTACTAGGTTGAGATTCACAGGGGTTTTTTTAAACCACTGTAGGAAAATAATGTGTTTACATGAAAGCAAACAGATCATTATCAACATATACAAGAAGAAGTTTGTATCTAATAAAACATCACAATGATGGATTTAATTTGTTTATGCTTGTGACTGACAGGTGGCAAATTCCACACCTCTATCACACTCACGTTAGTTTGAAGCATAGCTGCCTTAAAAATCAGTACCTAATTGAGCCTGGCTTGCATCTGCCATCTGAACCAAAGCATTTTCTTTTTTCTTAAACATGATCTTCACACGATGCACATCACCATACACACCTGTAGAAATCCAGAAATGAAATTTGGGCAGAGCATTACTACAAACAGTACAAGGGCAAGTCTGTTTCTTTTGACTAACGTCAGTGTTACAAAGAATAATCACCTCATTAAACAGGTTGGTTAGAATATTAGTGTGAAGGAGAGCTTTGAATTTTGTGTATTATTTTCTGAGGCTCAGAAATGGGTGGAAAAAAACAGGATCTTAGTCTTAAAACTGCATGCTTATATTCAGCTTTTAAATAGTGCAACAATGTTAAAGTCCTCTTCACAGAGGCATATTAAAATATTATTATGCCAACAAATATTGTCCTCTGCAACTAATGTACGTGCCAATTCTGTACTCCATTTCCTCTGATGAAATCTTTGTTTTTTCATCTTACTTTGCTTTCCCATTCTTTGCAGTAAACAAATCGGACCACACACTAAAATTCTCCTGGCACTGTAACCATTTTGCCTTTTTGGTACCTGTGACCTACAACTACTGACTCAAATTTTTGTCATTTTAGAACCAGTGCATCCTCCTGTGTGTTTTCTGGACAAGCACAGAACAATGGATCTTGCATTAACCAGCATGTGTCAATTGAAAAGAATTCTAGCCCTTGTTGTGGGTTTACACGGCAAGGTTTTGGTAGCACGGGGGCTATGGGGGTGGCTTCTATGAGAAGCTATCAGAAGCTTCCCCCATGTCTGACAGAGCCAATGCCAGCCAGCGCCAAGATGGACCCGCCGCTGACCAAGGCCAAGGCGGTAGCACCTCTGGGATAACATGGTTAAGCAAAAAAAAAACCGTGCAAGGGCATTTTGCAGCTGGAGAGAGGAGCGAGAACTCTGCAGACACCAAGGTCAGTGCAGAAGCAGGGGGAGGAGTAGGGGTTCCCCTGCAGCCCGTGGAGCAGACCATGGTGGGGCAGGCTGTGTCCCTGCAGCCCATGGAGGCCTACGGTGGAGCAGATTTCCACCTGCAGCCCAGGGAGGACCCCACCCCAGAGCAGGGGAGTGCCTGAAGGAGGCTGTGACCCCGTGGGGAGCCTGCGCTGGAGCAGGCTTCTGGCAGGACCTGTGACCCCCTGGGAAGGACCGCCGCTGGAGCAGTCTATTCCTGAAGGACTGCACGCTGTTGGAAGGGCCCACGCTGGGGTACTTCGTGAAGAACTGTCTCCCATGGGAGGGACCTCACACTGGAGCAGGGGCAGAGTGTGAGGAGTCCTCCTCCAGAGAAGGAAGGAGCGGCAGAGACAACGTGTGATGAACTGACCACAGCCCCATTTCCCTGTCCCCCTGCGCTGCTGGGGTTGAGGAGGGAGAGAAAATGAGACGTGAAGTTGGCCTGGGAAGAAGGGAAGGGTGGGAGGAGGATGGTGTTAAGATTTGGTTTTATTTCTCATTATCCTACTCTGATTTGATTGGTGATGAATTAAACTAATTTCCCCAAGTCAAGTCTGTTTTGCCCGTGACAGCAATTGCTGAGTGATCTCTCCCTGTCCTTATCTTGACCCTCGAGCTTTACATCGTATTTTTAATCCCCTGTCCAGCTGAGGAGGAGGACCGATAGAGCAGCTTGGTGGGCACCTGGCATCCAGCCAGGCTAAAGCACGACACACTGTAGTTTCTCAAGATATATTTGATATATCTTACCAAACAGGATGAAAAGTCCATGCGGTGTGATGACCTGTTTGAATGATAAAATGAATATATTATTTTTAAAGCCATGTAAATAATCTATTCCATAAGTGCATAGTAAACAAAAAGAGTGGAAGAGATAGTGCCCAGTAATACATAAACCTATCTCTCCAAAAGCTATACCCTGCAATACCTATGGTTTATAGCATTTTTCCTGATACCTATTTGATATGCACATTTAAAATATTTAAACAACCTAACACTTCAGCTCATGCATTTTCAACATTCCAGACTCAGCCTTTCATGCCGAAAAAGTTAAGTAGCTTAATTATTTGAACTAGTCTTCCCAAGCTAGCAGTTCATTCCCTGAAAAAATAGACATTTGCTACACTAGACACAGCAAAAAGCATTCAAGAACTCATGTGTATTTTCTAAACAGTAGACAACACCTAAAAAACTAAAAAGTTGCTTCAAAATGTGTTTGCTTTGCCTTCAGTTTTGTCCCCATTTCTGTACACGACTGTGACATCGTAAAGTGATACACATACCATTGAACTGTTTATATATGAAGCATATAGAAAGTGGTATTTAAATTCTGTTGGATTAGAAGCTGTGAACAGGAAGCTAAATATTGAACGAAATAATTTTCTTCAGTGATTTTTAATGAAATCCTTGTGTACCAAGCTCCCCAAGCACCAAATAAAATAATTTAGCCACTAAAGCAGCCAGAACTTACTCAACTGGGATAAAGGTTTTGCCAGTAATAGGTACCAAAAATACTTGGCTATCAGAAGCACTACTCACACTCTCTAGCCCTGTTCCTTCTCAACTCACAGCATTTGAAACGTGTACTGAACTTACCTAAATTATCTGAAAACCGAAGATATTGCAGCCTAAGTGTAAGCCCATACCCTTTTATGAAGCATACCCCCCCAACGAGCAAGACTGTCAACCTGGTAGCAATGGATGAGGAGAACACTGAGGTACTCAAAAACTTTTTTGCCTCAGTCTTCACTGGCAACCTCTCTCCCCTCCCAAGCTGATGGACCACAAGATGGGGACCAGAGGAATAAAGTCCCTTCCATGTGAGAAACATGAATGTACATAAGTCTGTGGGACCTGACGAGATGCATCCCACAGTCCTGAGGGAACTGGCTGATGCAGTTGCCAAGCCGCTCTCCATGACATTTGAACAGTCATGGCAGTCAGGTGAAGGCCCTGGTGACTGGAAGAAGGGAAACATTCCGCCCATTTTGAAACTGGGTAGGAAGGAGGATGCTGGGAACTACCGACCTGTCAGCCTCACCTCTGTGCCTGGGAAGATCATGGAACAGATCCTCCTAGAAGCTGTGCTAAGGCACACAGGCGATAGCCAGGATGGCTTCACCAAGGGCAAGTCCTGCCTGACCAACTCAGTGGCCTTCTATGATAGAGTGACTGCATCAGTGGACAAGGGAAAAGCAACGGATGTGATCTATCTGGACTTCTGTCAGGGCTTTGACAAAGTCCCCCACAACATCCTCCTCTTTAAATTGAGGAGATATGAATTTGATGGGTGGACTGTTCAGTGGATGAGGAGTCGGTTGGATAGTTCGCATCCGGAGGGTAGTGTCTCAATGTCCAGACGGAGATTGGTGACAAATTGTGTCCCTCAGGAGTCCATATTGGGACAGGTACTGTTTAATACCTTCATCAATGACAGACAGTGCCATCGAGTACACCCTTAGCAAATTTGCCGATGACACCAAGCTGAGTTGTGCGGCCAACACACCTCAGAGACAGGATGCCACCCAGAGGGACCTGGACAAGCTCGAGAAGTGGGCATGTGTAGACCTCATGAGATTCAACAAGCCCAAGTGCAGGGTCTTGCACATAAGTAGCAAACCTCAGTATCAATACAGGCTGGGGGATGAAGGGATTGCCCTGCCAAGGAGGACTTGGGGGTGCTGCTGGATGAAAAGCTCGACATGAGCCACCAATGTGCGCTTGCAGCCCAGAAGGCCAACCATACCCTGGGCTGCACCAAAAGCAGCGTGGCCAGCAGGATGAGGGAGGGGATTCTGCCCCTCTGCTCTACTCTTGTGAGACCTCACCTGGAGTCCTGCGTCCAGCTCTGGAGCTCTCAGCACAGGAGAAACATGGACCTGTTGGAGCAGGTCCAGAGGACGCCACAGCAATGATCTAAGGGCTGGAGCACCTCTCCTATGAGGGCAGGCTGAGAGAGTTGGGGCTGTTCAGCCTGGAGAAGAGAAGGCTCCAGAGAGATCTTATTGCAGCCTTTCAGTATTTAAAGGGGGCTTATCAGAAAGGTGTGGACAGACTTTTTAGCAAGGTCTGCTGCAATAGGACAAGACGTAATGGTTTTAAACTAAAAGAGGGTAGATCTAGACTAGATACAAGGAAGAAATGTTTTACACTGGCACAAGTTGCCCAGAGAGGTGGTAGATGCCCCCTCCCTGGAAACATTCAATATCAGATTGGACAGGACTTTGAGCACCATGACCTAGTTGAAGATGTCCCTGCTTATTGCAGGGAGATTGGACTAGGTGACCTTTAAAGGTCCCTTCCAAACCAAACCATTCTATGATTCTATGATCAGTATTTGGTAATAAGGAACAATCACTATCAATGTAAAATTTAAATGCCTCTATAGTTTACCCTTCTGACCCAAATATTTTAATTCAGCACAGACTTTATTTAAAGAAATTTCTTAACAAATGAGACTGCAATGTATCTTCTAAAAATTATTTTTGGAAGACAAAACCAACTAATTTAAAAGTCATGAGGGAATGATCAAACACACACTGAAACCCCGCAACATGAGAGAAATACAAATGGAAATACAGTCAAACAGATTTTCTCTACGTAGAAAAAGAAGTGACATGGCTAGGGCAACCATTACTGAAGAACAAGTGTTATACAGTTGCCAAGAAACGTATTTATAGAAATTTGTATTTCCAGCAACCAATGTTGTTGTACATCCTTATTTTTTACCTTTTAAGAAGTTGAGCATTATTTAATGCCTTTATGCTGCATTGTGGCACAAAATTCTACATAACTACTTCTTACATTTGATTAGCATTAAGTAAAGCAGCAATGTCCTAAAAATAGCTTTGACCTTTGCTTCACATATGCTTATTCTTAAAAAACACACTTTTGAAGACTCAAAGAATAATCTCGAATAACCAGCAGCAGAAATCACATCCACAGCAACCATCAGAAATTTACTGATAAGATACATGGAGAAATCAAAGAAAATTTGACTTGTCTTATAGTCCCAATTTGCAGTGTTTCTTTGGGTGCTTCCAGTGGAATTCAGCTATTAGTACAAAAATGGAAAATGGCAATTACTTAAAGAAAAAAGAAACTGGTAAAAAATTTTTTAAACCTCAGTAATATGAAAATAACATCAATTTTGCCAATAACTCCTGATTTTATCATTTTTATGGTTAAGTGAATCTAATGAGTGTGTAAAACAAACAAGAATTTTACATTGCTGTAATACAGCTGCTTATCAACAGTCAAGTAGAATTACATTTTAAATCATAGAATTGGTAAAGCTTGATTTTTGTTATTCTAAGAGAGGCACATTGCTTTTGATTAAGGACAGATCAATGTGTAACAGTACTAAGCTTCTAGAACAGTCTATGTCATTTCCACTGTAAAAATAACTGTCCAAGTTGTCCTTGGCAATTTTACTTCCAACATATGAAAAAAATCTGTGTAGTACTATGAAAAGCGAATATGCGTATTTACTAGCTTTTAAAAATGGATTGACTGTGATGTCAATAGCAAAGTGCACCTGTGTTCTTCCTCTCCAACCTGGGAAAAGCTGCAAAACTAGAAAGATCCTGTCAATATTTTGAAAGATACTTCATTTGGCATGCTTTAATCTCCTTTTCTCTTCCCTCCTGTTTCTCTAACTACTCATGTTTTGTAACATGATGAAAAATTCTTTGGCTTCTCTAATGATAAAGTAGCACACACAGGAGTCATATTAACAGAGATACCAGTATGTTTAGTCTTAATATATGTTTTTTTACTCTTCAAATATTTTTCATATCTGACCATAGACTTTTCTCTAATTAGTAGCTACACTGAAAACATAGGTTTCCTAAATAAAGTAAATTTTGTTAGGAAGCTTTTCACTGCTGACTGGAGTTTTTAAACCTCATCAATATTGCAAAATATTTAAAAAAAAAAGAATAGAGCTGTCCTCTTTTTTTGTATTCTCAGCACAGAGATTTCCTCTCCAATTTCTTCTGCTAATGTCAATTTGCAAGAAGGATTCTGGCAGTTGGTACTAGCTGATACTTGCAGCAGTTCCACCAAACATACTTCAGAGTTGAGGTTGCTGACCAGCAGAACAGAATTTCCTGGACCACCAGTAGCACCGGGCATAGTAATCTGTCCAAATGCTGAAGATGTGGTGATTGCAAGAGAACCAACTGCTCCAGGAACTGATGGAACTGAAAGACCTGTAATGGTATTAATAGCATCACTTGACATTTCAAAGTGGAAAAGACATTTTAGCAGACAAAAGCAGATTACATTTGGCAAAAACACCAATATTCAATAAAAAAATGCTTTTAAGGAATTTAGTTATTCCTAGTATCTGCTCAACAAAGCAGGAAGCACTTCCCCTGCAGAGATGAAGAAACATTCAGCTACACCAACAGACCCAAAAGGGGACATAAATTGCAGCTCAAGAGAGAAGAAATACAATTTAGAACAGAATTTTATCCTGTGCTAGAAAGGAAAAGATCACTGAGACTAGAAGACTATGTCTTTCTCATTGTATATCCACAAAAGGGGAGACTTCCTGCTTTAGCTTTGAAATGACACTGAAGTCTTATAAGTCTTAGAAAAACAGATGCTTGGAGTTTCTTGTCTTGCAGGTAATCTTTATCATGGCATTTAATTTCACAGAATCACAGAATGGTAGGGGTTGGAAGGGACCTCTGTGGGTCATCTAGTCCAACCCTCCTGCCAAAGCAGGGTCACCTACAGCAGGCTGCACAGGACCTTGTCCAGGGCGGTCTTGAATATCTGCAGAGAAGGAGACTCCACAACCTCCCTGGGCAGGATAAACTACAACGGCATATGTTTTTTATTACAGACAGTAATTTTACTGAATAATATGAGAAAGAGAATCAGAATGTCTCAAATGAACACTGTGTTTTGACTGCTATATTTGAAAATAATTTGCTCTGAACAGAGGTGTATTCAGATAGACCACTAGCCCCAAACGCAAACACCACGTTTTTATAAAATAGAAACTTATCAGCACCTTGAGCAAAATCCATGGCTGGGGCAAACCCAGCAGCTCCTACATATGATGGGAAGATGACATTTTGGGTGCCTAGAGAGAGCAGACACATCTAATTAAAACACATTTAAAAGTTTTCAGAAAACAGGAGAGACTGTGGCAATGAGAATCAGCTTGCAGTGTTGCTATTCTGACTTTAGTCCATTATCACACCTTTTATAAAACATTTGGGTTAAAAATTCTCATTGAAATCTGAGATTCTATGTTTTACAAAGACAATTTTCAGCTACCTTTGAAGGTAAATATTCCGATCAGCCTCAATGTCCCTTTCTAAAATGAAGTCAGGGCAAAATATAATTTAGACAAGGTTGAACAGGGAAGTACAGCACAGATTAGTATCATTTAAAGTCAAGACACCTGTGGTGCAATGTTCAACATTTTGTTCACACAATGGAAATGCATTCTAGAAATTTTCTGGAAGTAATTACACTCAAAGACATTTTGCAATGACAAGATACAACTATTTCTGAGATATTTCTAAAACCACTAGGGGCTAAATAATACAAGCAACTACAATGAATCTGAGGTTCTTGAGCTATTGAGATGCATAAAGTACACATATTTTGCTTTTTAAGGAGATGTACTTTCCCAGCTTGTATTATTTCATAGATAACCACTGCTTTTTATGGCTCTCCTGGCAACCACAAGCATTAAACAAACTTGCAATAGCAATTTATGAAGAGTCCCAGCCTCGAAGATAGCTCAGTGATTTTCATATTAGTGTATGGAGTTCAGCGCAGCTTGGGGCAGCACACAAACTTGTGTTCTAAGAGGCAGTTAGACAGAAGCTTGAGTCATGGCTTCTTTCATGGTAGCACACTAGATTTTTTTTGATGGGGCATGCGTAATCAGCCCATACAACCTGCAATCCTGGCAATATGTCAGTTTCACTACTCAAAACTCCACCATTGACTAAAATAGCTACATTCACTAACAGATAGTTATTGACAGGATGATACAATACTGTAAGAACTATCAGTTAGGAAATACAAAAACAACAAATGAAACAGACACCACAGATCAAGTATTCATAAATACTGCACCACATTACACCTCCTCTTATCTGTAGCAACAAAGTGTCTTTCATACAAACAACTGAATACATTTATCACACCAAAGCAATTCATTGCGCTCTTGAAATGCATGAACTGGTGCACTACACTGACAAGTTCTGGCAATATAGGTATTAATCACTTATTCACAATCCAAGAATGGTAATGGGAAATATTAATGAAAAAATAGATGAAGCGCTTCTATTCTGCCAGATAGGACCTGCATGTTGTACACTGATACCAAAATCAGGCATGTAAAAATTGTTAAACAGAGCTAATGCAGAAAGAGCTGGAATTTTCTGTTGCATTTTTTAATGTGTAAAATCATATGCTTCATGGCTAGCTTTCAAAGCAAGCTAATTTATGTATCTCTGCTTATGCTCACTGGACAAGGGAACTCTTTAAAAGCAAAACATTGACAAAATCTGCTTGTTTATAATGCAGTATCTTTTCCGCCAAAACAAAAACAAAAAAAGAAAAAAAACAAGTTTCAAGAGCAGTTCAGTTTTGCTATTAAGATAATGAAGTCTACACAAGAAACAGATGTACTATTCTGACAATTGCCCACTCTGTCTTACAATTCTCCACCAAAACTACGTCCACTATTAATAACATAGGAAATGTAAGTGCTGACCTGACTTCCAATATCTTTTCCTTGTCTCAGGCAACTGAAGACTATCAGAACATGCCTATGGCAACATATGCATGTTGTTACCACTGACAGAAAGGCTAGAAGCATGCTTCTCCCAGTTTACAGCTATTTTTTTTTAAAGAAAAATATCTATGCAGCTGCTTCACTGTGACTGCGCTACAAACAAATTTTGATACAGACATCAGACTCTTCTTTACAGCATTATCTCTGATGTTCTTATTGTTACAGTAAATGTCCAGAGTGAAAATGAGATTGCTAGCAATGACAAGCTTGGAAGAGTGAGGAGGAAGGAAATGGAGAAGCGTTCATGTGTTATCCTCCAAAAGCATGCATACAATGTTATCTCCGCCCTACAAGCAAGTTTGTCCTTAATCTGATCTAATTGTAATGTTCCCTTTCATTGACCTTTCAGATTCTGTAAGTCTAATTAATCAGAACATGTCAGATTTATAACAGCGTGTTTCCATGAGGCTATAAGCCAAATCTCCCCCAAATTTATAAATTATATAGTACATTACTCAAAAACAATCAAGAAAGTAGAGAGTGCAACTCAATTACTTACTCTAAGCCAACTATCAAAAAAAACAAACCAAAACAATTATCTGCCCTAGCTATCACAGAAAACTAAAGGAAAAAATTGAATTCTTCCCCAGTCCTTGCTACTGTTGTAACCAACTGGATGGCACTTAAATACCCATTGAACAGCTGAGACAGTTCTTAGCTGTGTCTTATTTCTAATGGTTGCTGTTAGACAGAAAGAAAAATAGCTAAAAATCACTCAAATTGCATTGTAAGCACTTCTGCCAGGTCATCAGATTAATCTGTCTGGTGATTTGCATTATCACCAAAGTTGATTAAATGACCATGCTTGTGCTATTTATGCCAGAAAGGCTTCTCCAGTGTAGCTTCAAGCAGACACTGTCTCCTTTATGCTATGGAAATGACTTCTAAAATTCAAGAAAATTTCTAAAATTTTATTTTTAGAAAGTGACTACAAAACAAACATAAGTAAGTATGGCATTTCTAAGTTTCTTATGGTTTTGTTTGCTACAGCAGGCAGTTATCCTAAAATATCAAAAAATAAGAGCTAACACCCTTAAAACACTTATTTTCAAGCAGCTTTAGGCAACCAGTGTCAATTTTGGATGACTGCCATTGATCGTTCTGATATGCAACATTTACTATACTATCTGTACCAATGATATAATTTCAGAGCATTTTACAAATGCAGTTTTTTTGACAACACTTTGAATTTGCCTAAGAGAATTCCTTATGTTATAGTTTCAGATATTCATTTATCTTGAGTAGGACTTTCTGCTTTCCATACAAACTTTACTGGACCTAACAGACAGAAATGAATGCAAAATGTACCCTTCTATGAACCTCAGATGAAGCCAGAGCATAAATGCAACAGAAAAAGCATAATGATCTTCTTGTGTGTGTGTCACTAACAGTGAAGTTTCTTACCAAAGGCAGCAGCTGTGGATGGCTCCATGGGTGGTTGGCTATCACCAAAAGGAAGGTCAAGGCGAGTGAAATCTCTGCTTTTGTCGTTGTTGTACTTTACATTAAGGCTAGATAACTTGGAGAAATCAATACGCAGAGTGCAGCATGCAGTGTAGATACTTTGGCCATCGAGAGCCTGAAGAAAAATAATTATAGACAAAACAGACAATGGCAGCTGCTGCTGTAATTTTATGTTATTTCCACCCCGCAATTGTATCCAAACAGAAATTCATCTTCTAAGGTGCTGCTTTTAAACACCAAGTAGACAATCACATGGCCACTATCCTTACCTAAACATCCTGTGTAGCGTACTAGTGTAGTCCACTGATTAGTAGGTGTCATGTCACCTTGTGCCAATGGACAAAACATAGCTTTAAGCATGACTTCTCTTTCTAGCTGTGCTTCTAATCTGACTTGTCTCCCATTCAACACACAATAACAGATGGTAGTAGCAATAGTAATTTGTAGTTATTTATTGTATGGAACTCTTCCTTACTTAAGAACGTGAAGGGTCCAGAGCACAAGTCCTGTGAAGAGTGGCTGAGGGGGGTTGTTCAGTCTGGAGAAAAGGAGGCTCAAGAGAGACCTTGCTGCTCTCTACAACTACCTGAAAGGAGGCTGTAGCGAGGTGGGTGTCCATTTCTTTTCTCAAGCAAAAAGTCATGGGATGAGACAAAAGGGCCTCAACTTGTGCTAGGGGAGGTTTAGACTAGATATTAGGAAAAATTTCTTCACTGAAAGGGTTATCAAGCACTGGAACAGGCTGCCAAGGGAAGTGGTTGAGTCACCACCCATGCAGGTATTTAAAAGATGTGTAGATATGGTGCTTAAGGATAGGATTTAGTGCTAATGTTAGGATTTAGTGGTAATGCTAGGTGTACAGTTGGACTCGATGATTTTAAGGGCCTTTTCCAACCTAAATTATTCTATAAAATCCATCTCTTTAAGAGTAGCCATGCTCAGAAAGATCACTGAAGTAGTTATTTTTCTGCCTATACCAGTCATAAAAGAATCATGATGGATGAATGGGCGAAAAAACCACTCAAAAGACGGGGGTTGGACTAGATGACCTCCAGGGGTCCCTTCCAACCCAAAACTTTCTATGATTTCTATGATACTGATTTGTTGCAATTATTTAGTATACTCTAGACTGAAATTATAATTTCTGTGAAATCTTTAAAAAGATATAGTTTATTACTAATAGTGTTCTCTAAGAACAGACAAATTGGTAACAAACAGGCTATAATCCCATCTACCTTTATTAATTTCCAATATGTACTTAATGAATAAAACACATTGTGAATTTACTTACTAGACTAAAGTGCAAATAGCAATAGATAAATATTCTGTGCCTTTAATATTGAAGCTGACAATAAAATCAACTTCAAGAACAAAAGTAGGGTAAAGGTTCCACTCACTCTAGTCTTTCAGTAATTTTATGAAAAAAAATGAATGCTAAATACCACTTAATACTTAACAGAATCTATTCTTCTATATACCTTCTATGGGAACTTTCTAATTGATTTTATTTATTTACTGCTACTGAGGTGACGACATAGGTTAAAGAGAAATACAAAGTGCTTCAGGTTTAGTTTCAAGTTAAGTATTTTATTTTCTGTATTTATGTTTTACGTCACAGTTCAAGTATTATAACGTGATGATTTATCACAGTGCTGTCTCTTCTGCAAAAACGTTCAAGGTCTCCACTCTCGACATTTAACTATTTAACTACTCCCCACTAAGGAAATCAATAATATTTTCTAGAGATTAAAATATTTAGCTATCATATGGAAACTAATTCTAAAAGTTCTTTTGAAAAAAAGTGTATTGGGTTTATGGGGGAAGGTTTTCGCAGTTGGGCCAGCTGCTACCCCTCTGTGGGAAGAGACCAGAGGCTGCTGCGTGCTGGACAGAGTGCGTTCCAGTGAGCTCCAAAACAGGTTCACTGTGGCCAAAAGCAGAGCCAGTCAGAATACTGGTGGTGCCTTTGTGAGAACACATTTACGAAAGGGTAAAAAACACTGTGCAATAGCTGAGAGAGAAAAGAGAGAGAATTATGTGAGGGAAACCACCCTGCAGACACCAAGGTCAGAGCAGTAGGGGGAGGAGGTAGGGGTCCAGGTGCCAGAGCAGATTCCTCTGGAGAAGATCATGGTGGGGCAGGCTGTCCCCCTGCAGCCCATGGAGGCCCACGGTGAAGAAGATATTCACCGGCAGCCCGTGGGAAGGACCCACATTGTAGTAGTCTGTCAAGAACTGTATCCCATGGGGAGGACCCACGCTGGAGCAGGAGAACAGTGTAAGGAGGAAGGAGTGGCAGCGACAAAGTATTATGGACTGACTGCAAGCCTCATTCCCCATCCCCCTCCACCTCTCAGGGGGAGGAGGTAGCAGGATTGGGAGTGAAGCTGAGCCTGTGAAGAGGGATTAAGGGTGTGGGGAAGGTGTGTTTACTTTTGTTTTTATTCCTTACTATCCTACTCTATTTTTAAGTGCCAATAAATTAAATCAATCTTCCCTAAGTCGAGTCTTTTATGCAACCTCCCTGCCCTTATCTCAACACTCAAACTTTTAAATCTATTTTTCTCCCCCTGCCCAGGTGAGTAAGGGGAGTGAGAGTAGCTCGGTGGGTGTCTGGCAGCCAGCCAAGGCTAACCCACCACAGAAAATGTACCTAAAGTAGGTAAGCTCTTCTTCATTACTGGGAATGTGCACTTTAAAAATCAGGGTACAGGTGGTTTGAAAGTAAGAACTTTAAGGTGAAAACATTGATTACTGTAAATTTTTCACTGAAATTCAAAACAAGTAAAACATGTAACATCCACCTAAGCTCTGCGCATTTAACTACACTGCTATTAGTACTGAACTTCATCAAAAATATTCCATTTAGTCTGAAAGGCAAAAGACTTTTTGGTCAACTACAATTACCACCACTCATCACTACTGACAGCTCTGATTTTTGTTTTGGTGGACTCATGCAGGTCTTGGTGTGTGTGCTATATGCTTATGTTTGCAGTTGTTGATAAAGTGTTATGATCAAGCTACACTGACGTTCCCCATTTATCAGGGGGGTGAAGGGAGAGGGGAATCAAGCTGAATACACTATATTTACCATTTTGGCATGATATGCATTCATTGAATCAGCATACTGTAGTAAAGCTTGGAATTGATTGTTCTTAGTGAAGGTGACAATCTTCATGACAGATCCAAATTTAGAGAAAATCTGAGAAGGAAAAAGCATGGACTTTGAGAAATAATGAATAATTCATGCCCATTAAAAACTAGCATTTTAATACTTCATATACATTTCTGAAAATTCTTTATTTTGTGAAAGCTGAACAGAAACTGAGTGAACTGAAATTTTGTTTTAGGTGTAAAAAAAAAATTAAAAAGAGGCTACAAAAGATGGGGAACAAGGATAAAATTTCCTTAAAGATCTAGTAATAGCTATTCAACTAAGAGCAGGGAAGGCCACCCCAAAGAAACATTTGTCCAGTGTTTGTAGAGGAACTGTGGATAACCAAACATGAGGTTTGAGAAATGGACTTTCACAAGTCAGTTGAGATGGGAACTGCAAACTGCTTTTCAAGGTATCCACCTTTACGTTCTCTACTTCAAACAAATTCTGCAAATTTGGTGACCAAAAATACATCTTAAATAGTTGTCGTGCCTAGTAATTAGTTACGCAGATCCACTGTCCAAACTAGAAGACAAAGAAGGAAAGAAGCAGGACAAAGACCCAGTTTGGGACCGACCCCTCTAATTCACAATTGAATTGTATTTGATTTATTGCAAATGTAAGCATTGCAGAAAAATTTTCAAAGGTTGAAATTAAATATATATACACTCAAAATGAGAGTATGCACTACATGAAGGTGTCTAGACAAAAGCAAAGCCACAAAGAATGCAGACAAAAATATAGAATCATAGAATCATTAAGGTTGGAAAAGACCTCTAAGATCATCAAGTCCAACCATCAACCCAACACCACCATGCCTATTAAACCATGTCCTGAAGTGCCACGTCTACACGTTTTTTCAACACTTCCAGGGATGGGGACTCCACCACCTCCCTGGGCAGCCTATTCCAATGCCTGACCACTCTTTCAGTAAAGAAATTTTTCTGAAGATCCAATCTAAACCTCCCCTGATGCAACTTGAGGCCATTTCGTCCCATCCTATCGCTAGTTACCTGGGAGAAGACACCAACACCCACCTCACTACAGCCTCCTTTCAGACAGTTGTAGAGAGCAAGAAGGTCTCCCCTCAGTCTCCTCTTCTCCAGACTAAACAGCCCCAGTTCCCTCAGCTGCTCCTCATAATACATGTTCTCCTGACCCTTCACCAGCTTCATTGACCTTCCCTGGACACGCTCCAGCACCTCAGTGTCCTTCTTGTAGTGAGGGGCCCAAAACTGAACACAGTATTTGAGAAGCGGCCTCACCAGTGCCAAGTACAAGGGCACGATCACTTCCCTACTCCCGCTAGCCACACTATTCCCAATACAAGCCAGGATGCCGCTGGCCTTCTTGGCCACCTGGACACACTGCTGGCTCATGTTGAGCCACCTGTCGACCAGCACCCCCAGGTCCTTTTCCACCAGGCAGCTTTCCAGCCACTCTGCCTCAAGCCTGTAGCGTTGCATGGGGTTGTTGTGACCCAAATGCAGGACTTGGCACTTGGCCGTCTTGAAACTCATACAGCTGGCCTCAGCCCATTGATCCAGCCTGTTCAGATCCCTCTGCAGAGCCTTCCATGCTACCATGCAAGTGCAGAGAAACTATGTCCAAATTAACAGCAGAAGAGGAAAGGTGAGTTTGGGAACTACTAACAGTTTCAGAACAAACTGTTAGAATCAATGCAAAATCAGGAAAGCAGAACCCCCCAGACAAGTACTAAGCCTGGAATGGAAAGAAAGGCCAGAGATCAGGACAAGCATCTCTTGGAAGCCTATTAGGCCTAGAATCATGGATACAAGACACACTGACCAAACCCTTTGTGCCCAGTTTTTCAATCTCTCAGAAACAAAGTTCTTAGACTGCAATCATCATTTTGTGGTAGAAGACAGAACAGAAACCTTTTTCACAGCAATTTAAAATTAGCCATTGAGTTCCAGTTCACAAAGCACTTCCCCTTAAGAAAGGCCTAAATACAGCTTCTGAACATAGGCTTTTCCATGTATATCCACAAGACTAGACAGCTCTTTTTCAAGATAAAGTTCAATCTATTCCTGTTTAGTTTTAAACCTAAACCTCACTGTATATATAATTTTTTTTTTTCTCCAAAGAGAACAATGAATATTCTGTTTCTTATAATAAATATTTTAAGGGGAATTGTAATAAAAAAGGGTTAGCTACTTGACAAGCAGTTATAACTTACAAAAGGTAACGAAATGTTTGAGTGACAGCTTGCTTGCTAGTGTTTCATATGATGCTACACTTACCAGTGAAAATTTTCATTTCTTCTAACGTTACCACACTTCTAAAGTAATGCTATGCTATAGCTATCAGGCACAAAGTGCTGTTTTAATTAGAGGAGACTGTACCCTGCTAAGAATTCCAAATAAGCTTCCTTTTCAAATATTTCTTAATTTTCTAGACCTATTGTGAAAGTAGTTGAGTGAGGGTTATTGGGTAATTCAAAGAATGAAAATATAGTTCTGCTGCACTGAAGTAAACACTAAATCAAATTCAAGTAAATTAACGTGAATCTTCTCTTCCACTGCCTGCTTAGTAAAAAAACAAAAGCCAAAAAAATTCCCCTTAAGATTACATCCAGGAATTGCTATTGCACTATTAAACTTGTACAGGTCCCATAACCACACAAATTTGTTCTCAGGTTGTTCTGAGTGCATTCATAATCCCAGTTCACACAGTATTTGAATGAGCTCAATATTAAGTGAACAGTACTCAAAGATAAAACAAAAAGTTTAGACCAGTGAAACTGCTACATCAAAGTGACAACTGGTATACTAGCTAATCAATATCATGCAGGGGAGATACAGAGAAAGAGGAAATATTAAGAGGTAAGAGGAAAAATAAAGTGTTGATAATAATTAACTATTGTTTCAGATGCTAGCACAGCAGCAAAAACCTCACAGGGACTGAAGGTTCTTGTAAAAGCATCCCAATTATTCTAAACGGCATTAGTTCCAAGAAAGTCGTATTTGGGGCATGTTTTTAATTGCACAAATTTACTAATAGTTACAAAAGCTTCAAGTATGAAACCCTTTGCAATATCTGAAAAAAAAATATCAGCACATCCTTCAGGCACAAAGAAATAGTCTCCTAAAGTTATTGTTTTTAAACTTATAGTTCTCAACAACACAGCACAAACCCTAGTAGGATGTATGGTAATGTTTTTCATAGCCACAGCCCACCACTGCTCCAGGCTATCAGAGGCAGTTAAAGTAAATGGCATTCTAACAGTTGATGAACAATCAAAAACATTTGTCCAAGCAACTATACTTGTATATTACATCGCTTGCATTGTATTATAAAAGGGGGCATGGTGGTGTCGGGTTGATGGTTAGATTCAATAATCTGAGAGGTCTTTTCCAACCTTAATGATTCCATGATTCTATGAATATAAAACCCTAAAATATAATCCAGACTATAAAAGTTACTCAGTACAAAGAGTGCTAAAATACTGGTCCACAAATTGATAACAACCACTATTTCATTAGCTCATTATCTGGGAATAAATTACAAATAGCACCTCAAGTTTGTTGCTGTTTCCACAGAAACCAAGGAACTGAAAGAAATGAAAGACAATATGAAACGCTGAGTACAGCAGCTCTGTTACCTTTGGGTTTTTTATGCAAAACTGATGCAAGCCTAGATCCCTAAATTGCCACAAATAATTTCTAAGTGACAGTCCTCATTCAAACAATTAAGTATCCAGAAGTACTTTAAAAATGAAAAAAAAAAAAAGTTAATGGATTTACAGTGGCAACATTGGAACACATTTTAACTACTGTTTTAGCAAACCTCATTACCTGATACAACCCTTCTAAAGTGACAGGGTAGAAAAGATTTTCAACAATGATTCGAAGGACAGAACCTTGACCTGGAAGGAACCCATGTTCAGCAGCAAAAGCATTTGTAATAGCCAGGCTTCCAGACTGCAAACCATTCACAGCTTGCAGTGCAGCTTGGGCTCTCTGAAATCATGACACAGTAGAGACCACAATTAACTTACACACATACAAATTACTGATACCTAAAGAAAGTTATTTTACAAAGAAAATAATGTAAAATGCATTTAAAATGCAACTTTAAAAAAAACATACTCCCTTTATCTGATTATTGATTCAATTTCCACTTTAACAGGTAAATCATACCTCTTCCTTTCTTTCCCTGTCCCTAAAAGAAGTCAGATCATACTTTCACAGAATTATTTACTTTATTTAGTTAAAGCGTTACTACTTTGTAATGCCATATAGATACAAATTTGCTTTGATTCAGTAAGCTTTTGTCATTCTAGAGATTTTGCAGCAAATCAACATGATAACAATATTGTAATAGACTAGCAACCCCTCAGTGTACCAAAAACTATTTGCTCTGCTTTATTAGTATTTCTTTCCCTTCAGGAACTAAGTCTTGCTGTGGATAAGCGTAAAGACCCATACCCTGCTCTTTTTTCTAAGCCAAGTTATCAAGCACAAAAAACACCTTTAAATCTGACTCCTCAAACTGCCGCAGCGGGACTTTGGAAGTCTCTACGCTTGTTTTTGATGAGCTTTCCTCAAAAAGGTCTTCCGACTACCTGTGAAAGCACTATGGAGAAATGTTCCTTTCCAAATGCAGTGTTGTGATTTTAAGTCATGCCTCAGTAACAGGATTTCCTTAGAAGATGGACTAAACATGGCACATGGTAAAGATGTCACACAGTTTCAGAAACATATAACCCTGCAAAATAATCTGTACTTCAGGTCTCAGCCTAGGCACTAGGTCAGTAATGTAGAGTCAGCTGTTCTGCTAGGGTCTCTAAAATTTAAATAAAACTGAAACGTAAGAGTCATATGTGCAAAAAAAATCTTTTGTAAGTAAACAAAGTGTTTTTTATAGAAGGAGACAGCAAGTGTCATGCACTGAGTTGAAAATACTCTGAGAAACAGATACAAGGAGTCTTATTTACAAAAATGAGTATAGTTTACTTGAGGCTGCTACATCCACAACATCCTCAAAAAAAAAAATCTTTTTATTTATTTGTTTTTGCAGATAACAAACCAATCCAGCAATCTCGGATGAGAAAAGAGACAAATAATATTTTTCAGATTAACAAGCTTGCAAGATGTCAGTTATTTTTGTCAGCACAAATTAAAAGTGAGCACTGACTTTTGCCCCAATCACTACTTGCAACATTCTTACAGCAAACAAAATCGTGATACAGACATCACATTCTATAAATTCATGTATTTAAATGGCAGGTCAATTGCAATTCATCCAGGAACCCAAAAATCCAAATGGATTTCAACTACAATATGCTTGTTTGAATACTTTGATCTTGTTATGCAAAGAGTATTTCTTTGTTTAGAGATCAGGATTTAAATCAATCATCTGCAATGTTCAATTCATATTCTTAAGAAACCAATTTTTTTGTTTACTTCAAAAATATAAGGAAGAAATTAATTCCAGTGTTTGGCATGAAGTTACACATAAAACCGATGTTTTATCAGTGAAAATATCCATTTTATCAGATCTAGGGTTCTTCTTAGAATAAGCAGACAACATTTAAAAAGCCAACACTATAAAGAATAAACCTGAACAACTTAAAGATGATGATTTCCTATTCCTGAGTTTGGTAAGCCCTTGGAACAGTGCCAACAACACAAATTCTACAAAAGCAGGTTACATGACCCTTCACAATAACATCCGTATCTGACAAAGTAAAAAGCCTCAGAAGAGCTCCTTTTATGGCAGAAAGTGGTTCATCATGTATCAGCTGGGTTTGGTCTTCCATGTGTTGTTCAGATAGTATCTACAGACCCATGATTAGCAATTAACTTTAAGAAAACACAAATATATGAAACTGAAGTGGTATGTTTTTTGTGGTATTCCTGCTACTATATTATGGACACAGCAAGAGGGGAAAAAACACAAGACTAATTATTCACAGAGAAGATTTACTGGAGAAGGCATGATATTTTCTTCATATTCTGAAGCACTGAGAGTTCTTACCTAATGTTAAAACTTAGGAAGGGCAAAAGTTCTTTCAAAACATATTGTAAGCAAATATTTTTAAGTAGTGTAGAATATAATAGCATGATCACCTACAGCAGGGTTCTTAGGACTGTTTCCAGTCAAGTTTTTAATGTATCTGAGGATGGAGACTCCACAACCTCTCAGAGCACCCCTTTCCAATGTTTAACCATTCTCACAGTAAAAAAGGTTTTTCTTAAGTCTGTATTTGAATTTCTGCCCATTGCCTCTTCTCCTGTCACTGGGCAGAGCCAACTTCATGGGGTCTTTGACTTTCCTAATCACATCCCTGCAGGTTCAGATAATGCTCTATATTCCCCCTGGGTCACCTGTCCATGATTCTACCTTTTCTATGCCTCTTGTTTACGTCTGAGTTCAGTGAGGAGCTCCTTGTTCATCCAAGCAGTCCATCTACCACCTTCACTTGATGTCCTGCTCATCAGGATGAACCATTCTTGAGCTTGAGCTCCTCCACAGTAATTTTACAGATATTGAGAAGTCCCTGTCTGAAAGAAGTTACTGCTTAGATAACAACAGATAGAAATAATAGCTATCAGAATTTGACTATTGGTGTATGGAAAGTGGTCTGTTTATTTACTAATGTTGTGGTTTAACCCTGGTAGGCAGCGAAGTGCCACAAAGCTGCTCAGTCACTTCCCCCACAGTAGGAGGGGGGAGAATCGGAGGGATAGAAGTGAGAAAACACATGGGTTGAGATAAAGACAGTTTAATAGGTCAAGAAAAAGCTGCATGTGCGAGTAAGGCAAAGTAAGGAATTCCATTACTACTTCTCATTGGTAGGCAGGTGTTCAGCCATTTCCAGGAAAGCAGGTCTCCATCAGACATAAAGTTTACTTGTGAAGAAAAATGACATAACTCTGAATGTCCCACCTTCATCCTTTTTCCCCCAGCTTTCATTGCAGAGCACAACGCCATATGGTGTGGGATATTCCTTTGGTTTGTTGAGGTCAGCTGTCCCAGCTGTGCCCCCTCCCAACCTCTTGTGCACTCCCACTGGCAGGGTGCTGTGAGACACAGAAGAGGCCTTGATGCTATGTAAGTGTCACAAGCTACTGTGAAGAAAATTAACTCTATCCTAGCCAAATCCAGTACATAACTCACGTGCAATTCTATCCTGTTACATGGAAATCTTATACTTACAGCCTGATTAGGTAGATTGTCAGTCTTAAGTTCTCTGTGATTGGAATACTGGATATAAACAGGCTGACTGTGGAGAAGAGGTGTAGCAGCGCTGTAGTAGTTCACCATAGCAACAGCAGCTTCTTCAGAAGCCATTTCCAAAAATGCCTGCAACCAATACACAGCAGTTATCAGTGGTGTTGGTTTTTTTTGTTTGTTCAGGAGAGAACAAAGCATCAAAACACCATTTATTCCCAATTCCACTCTCACTAGAAAAAGATCACAGGAAAGTCCAGTACTGATTTGCTCAGCATTAAAATGCATTTGTGAGTGCATGTTTATTGGAATATTTGATTTAATTTGTGGGTTTTCTTAACAGGCTTTACATTGTAAGTACAATAAGCCATTAAAGAAGAGGTGGAATAAATATGGCATATGGGAAGCAATGTTCCTAAGAATACCACACTGCTAATGCATGTATTAGATTCCTGAATCCAAGCACTATCACCTAAGCAGCAGATACACATACTGATTGAAAAAGTAGGAACAGGACACTAAATAACTATCAGTTCGTGCATTAACCCAGTTCAGTGCTCCAGAAAGTTTTTGAATGAATGCCTATTATTTTTAGGAATTCAATGTTTATTCATGATGTGAACCACCCCATCACAACAAAAAGAATTTTAAAAAACCCAAGCAATTTATTTCACATCAAAAAGTTAACATGCATGTTAATTATTTAATCAAACAGGTTGTTTCAAGACATATGTCTACATCAATAGTAACAATGTAGTTCTTTACCATCTATACACTCTTACATAAGGTGCATATAATGTTTAGCAATATTATTAACAAGTTACTAGTAAACGTACATTAAAACCTTCAAATAAATATCAAGACATCCTTTTACATTTGAAAATATGAAATCTTGAGCTATCAATGAAATATTTAGACATTGTTGCAATCATTTCAGCCAAATGTAATACCAAAAGGATCATAACATGAACCACATCTTCAGCCTTGCTCTTAACTGAAACGTTGAAAATAACATACCTGACTTTTTCCTTTTAGCAGCAGGAGGTTGGTTACTTTGCCAAAAGGCAGGCCTAAGGAAATTACTTCTGCTTCAGTAACATCATTTGGAATTTGACGAATATGAAGGACACGTGAAGGGGAGCATGGCCATCTGTCTTTTTTAAATTTCTTCTTGTCAATCCCATGATCTAAAATATTTTAGGCAGGGGGATGGACAAACAAACAGGACAAACATTGCACAGTATGGATACCAAAACCTGAAAGAGATAAACTGCCATCTCCGCACTGACATCAACTTATCTATAGCTCTTTGAATACTAAGAAAGGACAGTTCATATATAACCAAAGGACAGTTTGAGAAGCCCCCTTCAGCTGTTCCAAATCTCCACTGCAAGGGCACTGTGTAGTGTGCCTGTTCTGCTTTGGTATGGGTTTGTTTGTTTGTCTGTTTATTTTCCTGTTTTTTGTTGTTGTTGTTGTTTTGTTTTGTTTTTTTAAAGTCTTACAGACAGAGAGGCCAAAAACTTCTTCCCAAATGCCCATGTAACTTATTTACAAAATATTAGTTACACAGAAGTGGGGCAAGTAGTAATTGGGAGGTAATGTATCCTTTTTTTTTATTACTAACTTATCTAGCTGCATCGTATGTTTCTTAATTAGATTCAGATGCTACCTCAAATTCTTTTGTTTCTTAAAGAAATTCTGCTGTCCCACATGACTAAGTTTTAAAAAGTCTTTGAAAAGGAGAGACAGCAGTGAGGCATGAAATGCGTATGGATTCTGAAGTCTTCCGTTTTGGCAAATTGTCTTTTTTTCTTTTTTTTTAACATAAGCGTATTTGGATCCTGTAACAGGTAAGTGACCAATGGTTACATTTCAAGGAGATGACTCGGAGTCCTTGAGAGCACTTTAAGCAGAACACCACATTTGTAACAGGCCTATTGTTCTAGAAGCTATCACGATGGAGTAATAACTTAAAGTAGTAAAAATGAAATTCATTAGCCAAACTGCAGATCCCTGTAAAAGATTTGCCTAAAGCAAGCTACAGAGGCTTATGAGACTTGACGGAAAAAATATCCTAAATGGAGACGAAAGACAGCATATTTGACAGAAATTGTATTGAAGTCTAACTTCATACCACTTAAAGGAAGAAACAGCATCCTTTTTTCACTTCTGTGCCACAAACAGCTTCACCATAGCAAAAGAGATAGCCTTAACACCTCGTGTTGCATTTAGCCTTCCAAGGAGAATAACAAAAGACTAGGAAAAAATACCTGTATGAGCTGGGTAAGTAATTTCAGATTTTGCTACAGGTTTTGGATACAGTATAAGGCTGAGAAGGGTCTCACAAAAGTCGTTCTGTGTAAGGATCTTCACAGAGGATTTTTTAACTAGTAGAATTTTGTGAAACTCCAGTCACAGAATGGTTTGGGTTGGAAGGGACCTTTCAGATCATCTAGTTCCAGCCCCTCTGCCACGGGCAGGGACACCTTGCATCAGTCCGGGTTGCTCAAAGCCCCGTCCAACCTGGCCTTGAGCACTGTCAATGAGGGGGCAGCCACAGCTTCTCTGGGCAACCTGTGCCAGGGCCTCACCACCCTCACAGTAAAGAATTTCTTATATCTAACCTAGCCTCTTTTAGTTCAAAGCCATTACCCCTCGTCCTATCACTACATGCCCTTGCAGAAAGCCCCTCTCCAGCTTGCTTTATTAGATGTTAGAAGTTAGCTGATCTAAGCCCCAACCATGGCACACTCGTAAGCCAGTTTAAGTAATTTCTCTGCCTGCAAAACAGAAAAATCTGTTATGCATTGTTTTTTCCATCAAGAAATTTAAATGGCATCATGTGCTCTGCACGCATTCTGAAAAATGTGCACACTTATTGGGGATGAGACTTCAAGACAAACAGAAACACATTAAATGCATATTAGTACCAAGCTACAACAGGATATATGACTATTAAAGTCTAACAACTCATAGATAGACTCCAGTGGCTTCACTGCTGGAGTCGGATTACAGTTCAGGCTTTGTGAGGATGCTCATGGTGACAATAAAGAATACAAAAAAAATACATTCACAGAGTAAACACACACTGATGAAGAAGAACTGTGATAAAAATATTTTTTATGTATACCTACCTGTATCTGTAGTAGAATTGTTCATGGTAAAAGGCCTATTACTGACACCAGAAGAAAAAAGCTCCTCAGGTCCACGCTAAAAAATGAAAGACGAGATTACTAGTAAAAGCTGTTACAGAGAAAGAGCTTCATATAAAAGTGCAACAACTCCTCTAATTCGTTCTTCCCAAGAACACCCGCTTTCTGTACACATTACCCACTGTTGCTGTGGACTTGTTTTTCAGGAAAAAAAAAACCCACCAACTTTTCCTTCTGTCTCAAGATGTTAGCAAGTCCAGCTGTGTTACACTTGCTACTCCTCTTATTATTTATCCTACTACAGTTTACATTTTAAAAGATCAAGAATAACAAATTCTTATGAAAAGAAATGATCTAGCTGCAGGTTCTCGGTCTGCAACACAACATTGCTTCCAGATATGAGTAAACACACAGTCACACAGTTAAGGTCAGCATTTGTGACTAGACACAATGGACTTTGAGCAAAACTAACTAATTTGATGGTGCATCATATGTATTTAGAAAAAATACTAAAAATCAAAGTGTGTATGCTTTAGGAATACTGACAATTTGAGGCTCTAACTACTAATAGAGAAGAGTTTGAGCATTAGAGGTTCTTCACTCAAAAAAATCAGTGCCCACATGCCAGTTAAGTCTGTTTACTCTTTAAGACTGCTCTAGCATACCAATCAAGCACCAGCTTCAAAATGCCAACAAGAAACAAGGTACCACAACACCTCTGAAAGGCAGTTCAGGTTCCTGAAACTTTCAGCACAATCTTCCATAAAAGCATTTTCATTAAAAAGTTGAGACTAAGGGAGTGGTTCTATGAGATGGAATAAGCTGATCCAAACAGCTCCTCACCACTTTGGTGGAATGAGAGGTTCCCATTGCCCTTGCCCCAGTTCTCCCACCTGCTCATTGTCATGAGCTGTTTTTCTTGCAACAGCTCTGGCACCCAAGAGATTTTCCATGACATGACTCAATCCTCCAACCTGCCAGCACTCTATGCTGAGTTAGGTTAGTTAGTTTACCAGCTGAAAGAGGGGTTGAAAAGTGCCAGGATCCAGTGCGAAGAGAGGGGTAGGGACATCTGAAGAGGAAACAGGACTAAGACAGCACCCTTTTGGCGGCAGCAAGCCATCATGCTGACTTCTAGTGGCTGCGGAAGTACCACTCATAAAGGACTGGTTTATAAGCTGTCTGTGCTTAAAGAAGCAGTTTGGTTCTTTTCATCCTTGTAATCAACCATGTGCTCCTGCTGCTTCCCCAGTGTTATGAAGGTCATTCACAACACAAAGCTGTGCCCAGGACAGCACGCTAAAAAACCTTTTCAGCCAAATTTACCTGTTCTTGAAGCAGCACAGGTGTGAGCATAGGATGGAGGAAAACATGACTCTGTGTTCATTGCTCTCTGGCAGCAGCACAGACTTCTTATTGTTAGCTGTGAAACTGCATCTTAACAGTATATTTAAATGCAACATCTAATTATGGCAAACACTGTGCAAAATGATTTTTACATTAAAAGAAATAAAAAATCTAAAAACCATACTTTAAAGAAACTCCAATTCTAATTGTTTTCAGTTGCCACCAATGAATTCCATTTGCAATAAAAATATAGGCTAACATAAGGAGCAACTTACTCAGCTGAACAACAGAGTACACCATACACCATCTAGCCCAAGTTATGCTTCTTTGGATGGTTATATTTTTAATTAACCTTGTTAAAAATTGTCAATGAAATGGTTACTAGACGTCTGATACATATCACATTCTATGTGGACAGATACTGGAATGTAATTAACATCCAAAATCAGTATTAATTTTAGGTCATTAGAAGTACCTTGAGTATACCAGCATCCAGGTATTGAACGCCTAAAGACCATATATTTATTGTAAAATGCATGTCCTGATAATTAAAAAAAAAAGCAGCAATGTGTGCAGCTAGTAAGTGGTAGAAAGTATTAAGGATGGTCTTTTATTAAGCCAAACCTTCCTTTTATTTACAAGAGGGCAGGAAAAAAGACCCACTACTGCTGTAACTCCCGTCAGAGGTAAAGCACTTTCAGCTTGCTTTTTAACTTCTAATTTATTCAACAGAAGAAATCTATGCAGTTTTCAAGAAGACTGTGAAACAAACTTGGTGTTTAACATGGCTGACTCTGGCAGCAGCTGCCTTTTTTGAAGAACTTCTAGCTCTTTTGTGGTTTCACTATAAATCCTTGCCCCAAATACATCTATTATTATTTTGGCAGATAAGTTAACTTCAAGCACTTAACATGTATTCTCACAATTTCGTATTTAATTTTATATGCATCAATATAAAAAAAACACAACAGAGTTTTTCAGGAAAAAAAAAATTCCAACCTCTTCTGTTTTTAAAAGCTGTCTTTGTTGATTCAACTCAGGACTCAAATAAGCATCTCAGTGCAGAAACCAGAATCTACTATATTGACAAGCTGTTACACATACATATTTCATGGAATTTATAGTTAAAAAAAATTATTTGTTTTCAACTTAAATTTTACTGCCTGCATCAGTAACTTACAGCACTAGATACTTTGTAGGTTTGGCACATGAAAATGCAACTAATAAATTTGCTACTAATTTCTAGGCAAAATTCTTACAGGATATCACAGAAAATATTAATTAACTATGAGGATTTACAACAGAACACCATGATGAGCAGATAGATCTTAAAAACAAGTATCAAAGACCAGAACATACTACCATATATAATACAGAAAGTCTATAAATCAGCCATAATCTGAAAGATAATTCGGCTTTCTCAGAACAAGTTCTAATACATTACAAAAGAAAATGTATGTCACCTTCTCAAGCAGTATTCCTCCTTTCTAGCCCACCCCACCATTACAATTTCATGCAGCAACAATATTGTTTGTGGGCTTGTGCTGTAAACCAATGAAGCAATTCCAGGTTAAAATGACACATACACATAGAAACACAATTTAGGTGGCTGCAGCGATCTGTATTACAACTCTCTGTAGAACTGCTCTGTATCCATACAGCTGAAGCTGTAGCTCACTGCAGCACAATATGAACTGCTCTGGGATGGGGGACTAAACCAGCTTCAACAGGAGAAAAACGGTATCACAAAGTTAAAACCTTCAGTCATGACACACGCCTGTACCTACACTGATACATGATTCAATCACCATCTCCTAAGACAGCTCCCTAGATTTTGTCTTTCTGCTGACAACCATTAACCTGGCAATACACGAGCCAAAACACAATGAAAGCTCTTTTAAACCCCAAGCTCATCACCTAGTCAACTGTTTTAATTGGTCTAATAAAAGCCTATCAAGGCTTTGAGCCTCTTACGACACAGGGAACCATCACCATTACAAATGTATAACTGTCTACATATCTTCCATTTGATACAATGAGGATTTTTAAATGAATGTACTTTTAACTGTGTTTATGTTAAAAAAACAATAAAACATTAAATCAAGACATCATAGAATAACTGGTCTGCCAGAGTCATGCTAAGTGTAGAACCCTTATTACAAAACAGTTTCTTTTACAAAGGCAAATGCAGGGTCCTGCACCTGAGGAAGAAAAACCCCATGCATCAGTACAGGCTTGGGGTGGACCTGCTGGAGAGAATCTCTGCGGAGAGGGACCTGGGTGTCCTGGTGGACGACAGGTTAACCATGAGCCAGCAGTGTGCCCTGGCTGCCAAGAAGGCCAATGGCATCCTGGGGTGGACCCTCTTTTTCTTGGTTTGAGATTGGGTGGGTTTTGTTTGTTCTTTTAAATCCTTGGAAAAAATACCTCCCTGGCAAATAACTGCTGTTGTTGTAGAGACTGTGAAAAGTGATGTGGCTTATATCAGAAACTTGGTGAACTTGGGGCTGTTTTCTGCTTTTCTCCTCCGTGCCCAGCAACAGGACAAGAGGCAGTGGGCACAAACTGAAGCACAGGAAGTTCCGTCTGAACATGAGGAAGAACTTCTTCCCTCTGAGGGTGATGGAGCACTGGAACAGGCTGCCCAGGGAGGTTGTGGAGTCTCCTTCTCTGGAGATGTTCAAGACCCGCCTGGACAAGGTCCTGTGCAGCCTGCTGTAGGTGACCCTGCTTCGGCAGGAGAGTTGGACTAGATGACCCACAGAGCTCCCTTCCAACCCCTACCATTCTGTGATTCTTACAACCACAAGATTTTGACTATACTTTTATTATTATTTGAGTGGTCCACGGAAAAGCTATCCCAATTTATAACTTTTCATACCAATACTGTTACATACCTACTCATACAACTAAAGCATATTTATTTATTATAACATGGCCCCTGGAAGGAAATGGTATAAGAGAAAGGCTAGGAACTCCACTGTTTCTGCAGGTGGATGATCAAGCTATTTCTGAAGTACAAGAATGCTATAGAGATGCTTTTCAGCATCTCATAATTTATCCAGCAGTATAAGCAATAAACCTTCTCAGTCATCAATTGAAAGTAAAAACAAACCCAAAGCAAAAATGTTCTAGACAAGTGCAAAGATAAATTGACACCATGACAGTTCTCCTGCAACTTGAAGTACAATGTGCACGTGTTGAGGATATTCTGGATTAGTGAAGAAGATGATATTTACTTCATCAGTGTCTTCACACCCCTGTTCACAGTGAATTCACAAAAAAATGACAGCATTCAAGTTTGTGAAGCCCATCTCTTCAATCTCCTTCTTTCCCAGGTAGAGCTGAACGAGATCTTTTTGAAACACTTTGTGACAAGAACTGTTTAACGTGGTGACAAAGATCTACTATGGTTTGCTCTGCTAAGAAGGTTGGCAAGGCAGTGAGTGCTAAAAAAGTCCACACAAGTTAGGGTGACCTAGGTAGTGTGTTACAAAAGTCTTACTGAATCTTTCTACAGAGACTAGAGCGTCCTACTGTGCCCCTAGTTTCTCTCAGTACAGAAGTTTTCAGTTGGCTACCTCTTAGTTATTCCCTGTTTATGTCCAGCTGAGGAACAGTCAGAGCAGCCAAATCCTGCCTACAAAGCCTCCTTGACCCCCTTCCCTGCCTGCAGTTTATAGATGCTTAACAAGCACTTCTTTC